TGGCAGGTCTGTCTCCTCCAGCCCCTTCCCTCCTGGACCCTAAATAGGAGGTGTGGGAGGGCGAAGTAAGTGGGGATGGGGGGCACAAGGGAAGGTATAGCTACGTATAGCCAGAAACCGCCCCCAGGAGCTGGGGGGGGGGGCCTTGGACCTCCTGATTACAGCCCTCGATAAGAGCGGTGAAGCCGGCACAAGCAAGACCGGACAGGGTAAGGAGGAGCGAGTCTGGTTCAGCATCGCTGCTGCTGTAGGAGCAGCCGGGGGCTCACCCTCAGCCCCGCGTGATCCCCGCAGCTTTTGGGCGAGAGGCAGGTGGAAGGGGTTAAGGAAGGTGATGCCCTTTGCTATCTTTTCCTCCTGTAAAAACTGTCCTTTCAGCAGTTTCAAATCTAAAGAGGTGTGGTGCTGCTGGGCATCTTATTGACATCCCAGTCTAGGGAGAAAGCTGCCCAAGGGTTAAAGTTTGAGTAACTGAGCAGACACCACAACTCCTCCTTTGCCGTCATGTGAGCCTGGCTGCAGCTAAAAGCCAGGGGAAAAAAAATTCATAAACAAAAGCTGCGGCTTCACAGGAGACAGGTGCTCTCAGGGCAGCCTGGGAGACACGATGGATCTCCTGCCAAACTTTTCTTCTGTCACTTGGCTGCTCCTCATCGTTTTCCTTAGCCTCCTGGTCCTGTAAGTAGAGGCTGGTCCCTCAGGGTGGCCGGGGAGGAGGAGAAGCCTGTGCCTGCAGCTGGGGAGGGGGCTGGGGCCGTCACCCTTGGTATGACGTGCCCAAGTACATGAATTAGCCTTAAAAACTCATCCTCCGTCTTGCTGTGCTACCTTCAAGGCAGACGCGAGGGCTGACAAAGGGGCGGCTGTGGGGCTGCTCCTTGCCCTTCCCATGCTGGCTGGAGGGGAGGGAGGAAGCTGAGCTGGGGCGGGGGGGGATAAAAAGGAACTTCTTGATTTTTCTGCCTTTCTCAGCAGATCCAAAGGAGAAGTAACTGCCATGGTTTTAGCCGCAGCCAGCTCGGCTTGGCTGCAACGGGACCAGGGTGTCCCTGGCTGGGCTGGGCTCTGCAAGCTGGGGGCCGGGCGGTGGGTGATGTCTGTGTCTGCCCGTGTGCTTGTGCCAGCAGAAGCCCCTGTTTAAATAGTTATGTTGGCAAAATTGCCCTTTTGCTTATGTCGCTCAGGGGAGCTGTAGTGAGCTATACAGACAAAAACTTAATTTTGCTGTTATAATTTATGTCCCTGCCCGGCTGCTGTGCTGCTGCAGCTCTACGACCTGAGCATCGCAGTAGGTCTTTGCAAAGACAAACACAAGGGCAGGTCGCAGCTTGAGAACTTAATCCCTCTTAGACCTTTCTTCAGCCACCTGAGTCACAGTTGTCTGATCTGAGGAACTAAATGAGGCCCCTGAATAAAGACCTGAGGTGCCCATGTACACCGTGTTTGCCTAGGCTGGGCTGCAGCTCCTTTCAGCCTTGTCGTGTATCAAAGTGTACCCCAAACTATCTTGTACCCTAAGTGATCCTGCATTTATTGCAGGAAGAGATGAAGAACCATCTCCTTTCATTGCATAAATGCAACTCACACGCTCTTTGCTTGGCAGCTATGGGATATGGCCCTTCCAGGCCTTCAAGAAGCTGGGCATTCCCGGGCCACAGCCTCTGCCATTTTTGGGAACTTTCCTGGAGTACCGGCACGTGAGTACCAGCAGCTGCTGCTCTGTGGCTGCCTTAGGTTCTTACTTGTAGCGGGTGCTGGTTTTCCCATCCTTTGGGCATCTCTTTCCTCTGCCCTTGATTCAGTCAGATGGAGATGATGCTTTCGGGTAGGAAGCTCTTTGGACACACAGAGAACACAACAATTCGTTTTACGGTCTGGTTGACCTGAATGAGGTGTGCTGTGTTTTTCAACTACTTTATAACTTAAGTTAATAGTTTCTCCCTGGATTTCTACCTGCTCCCTAGCAGCTGAAGTTCTGTTGGAAACAAAGAAAAAAAATATTGGAGAGATGCCTAAGACTGCTAATTTCTGAGAACTGCGTGTTTCTTTGTGCTTTGTGTCATTCGCACAAAGAGACTGAATTAGCCCCAGCAATATCCCATCCAGCCACTTGCTGTCAGGCCAGCCTGAGACCAAGCCAGGTGAACAGATTTCTAAATAAACCTCAAATATTACCAAACCTTACCAAATAACTGGGTAGTGCTGGTCCCAGGTAACTGACTGCAAACGCAGAACAAAATGTATTAGCTTCAACGCAAGAGGTGTTTTAGCTTGTGTTTGCTGGGATACAGCACGCATGTTGGTCTCTTACTAATGATTTAGTTGATGCATGGTGAGTGTTATGTGTCCCATAAGTTTCATCCTTACACGTAACATCAGTTAAAACGTTAATGGAAACAAAGCAAAACAAAAAGACCACCATCGCTCCGGTTCAGTAACTGCAGTGGAAGATCTCATGAGGACAAGGCAGTAGCAGCTCTAACGTGTTGAGCTGAAGATGAAAGGACACCTTGGGACCTAGTTCTGCCTGCTGACTCCGCTCACGCTAAAACTGCGTACCCTGTCGTACCTCGTCTTCATTACATTTTCAGCTTAGGTTGGCTAGTGGAAGTTGAAAGTGCTTTTTTTTTTTTGCGCTCTCTGCTCTCTTCTTTCCCTCCAGTGCAAATGTCCCCTAAGTGCCGACGTGACTCTTAAGAGCTACCATGCTCTCCCCAGCCCGTGCCACTGACGGTGGGTCTGTGGGATGCACGGCACCGCCAGCTGTGACCTGCTTTGATCACTCTTCACTGGCAAACTGTTCATTTCTCCTTTCTTTTTTTTGCAGGGAGTCCTGAATTTTGATCAGATGTGCTTTGAAAAGTATGGCAAAATCTGGGGGTGAGTTTCTTTCTGCAGAACAAAACTCCCTGTTTGGGGTGCTCCGTGGCCCCAAAATAGAGTGGAAAAAGGTACATTGCTCCCATGACCATGTCCAAGCACTGTAATTCCAGCTGTGACAGCTTGGAAGAATCCAGGTTCACCACTGGGGAAGTCTCCAGCCATCTCTCCAACGATTCCCTCCTGCTGGGATTTCAGTACGGTGAAGGGCTGGGACAACGGTGACCAGTTTTGGGGGTCATTTTTTTGCATAAGCTTTGAAAATAACCTTTTTTTCTTTTCCCATTTGGGAGCATTAAAAACTAAACAGCAGTGTTAGTGACCTGAGGGCCGGAGAAGCTTCCACCACAGAGAGCCCAGGGAGCTCCCCTCGCCCTCCAACACCCGCCAGATCAGCACGGCCACCCCTTTATCTCTTAGCCCCAGATGCGGTAGCGAGGGAAGGCACCAATCCTTTCCCAACCACACAGCCTGCCCAGAAAACTCCACTGCTTGTGTCAAACCGAGCCTCATGCCTTTGAAGCTGCTCGTCTGTCTGTCCTGAGCAGAAAGCAAGCTGCAGGCTGCTGCAGTGTTTTTAATCTTGCTCCCTGCTTCTCCCAGAGCCGGGGCACGAGCTGCCTTTCAACCTGCCTCCCCGCTCCCTGCACAGCTCTGGTTTTGCGCAGGGACCTCTTATCATGCTTCTGCTGAGAACCTCTCAAACTGAAGCAAAATCGTTGCGCAAAAAAATCCTAGGAGGCTTCATGAAACCCCGCGCATTTTTTCGGAAGATTAAATGTTCTCAAGCCTCTTGAAGACGGCACCTTCCCTCGGCTGTGGCCCGAGGCTCCCTGCCCTTTAGCCCACACCGTGGCTTTTAAGTTTTTCTGTCTCTGTTGATTGGAAAATGGAGGAGACGGACGAGTTTTTCCCCTCTCATTGCCTTGTAGGCCAGGCAGGGAAACCTCTTTACCCCACAGGTAGGCTATTCGGTGTGGTTTTATTGACTCCAGCTACCAGTTGCAGAAACAGAGCTCAGACAGCCAAGTGCAGGGGACCGATGGCATGGCAAAAAGCTGCCTTTTATCTAAACCCACGCTGCTTTGGCAACTCTTTAATACCACTGACGATTGTTAGAAATGCTCATGCTGTCCGTGTTTGGCACTTTCTTTCCCTTTCTCCTGTTTTACTACATAATAAAACAGTTCCAGTCTCATCCCTTTGGCTGTTTTGTCAGAGGGGACTCAGCTGGCCCAAACCCTCTGGGCTCCAGCGGTCAATGTGCATGGCTTTGGCCACAGACAAAGCGTGCTGCTTTTGCTCCAACTGACCGTGAGCGATGGACTGACTGTGGGTTTCTCTTGGCTTAGGATTTTTGACGGCAGACAGCCTGTGCTCGCTGTTTTGGACCCCATCCTCATAAAAAATATCCTGGTGAAAGAGTGCTATACTATTTTTACCAATCGTCGGGTATGTACCTAGTCCTGTGCTTTCCTCCCCAGTACAAAGTGCATGGAGCAAGAAAGAGTTTCTTCTTGGTTTCTGTTCTCCTTCTCTAAGCCCTTCAGCAAGTAGTTGCTCTCTGTTCTGTCCCAGTTTATTGATGGTACCAACAACGAAACTCTGCTAGGGAGGTATAGAGGCCACTCTGGCTGGGACATCGGGACATCATCCTGGATGTACCCTAGGACTGATGTAATTTATCACTCTTACACTTTTGTTTCCATTTCTGTTGTTTGCTGGTTGAAGTAGAGGTGATACGACTTCAGGGGTCAAGTCAACACTCCATGGTGGTTTTGGGTGGGTTTTTTGTATTACTGTCATGCGGAAGGGGGCTGGAAACCTTTACCCATCTTCCTGTATAGCCATGTCCCTTTTGCTGTAAAATTCTCCCCATGCAGAAGTTCGGTCTGAGTGGGATCCTGGAGTTGGGCCTCCACGTGGCTGAAGATGAGAAGTGGAAAAGAATTCGTGCTATACTCTCTCCAACCTTCACCAGCGGGAAGCTGAAGGAGGTAAAACAGAGGCCACTGGTACTGTGCATCAATAGCTGGAGGAGGACTGGGGCATTTCTGAGTACAAACCTTCCCCTCGAATGGGGAAGGGACCCCATTTGTCACGACCACATTCATTAGCATCTGTGGTGTTGGGTGCAGTTCAGCAACACGGTGGCTGTCTACCAACATGGGGAGGGAGTCCGGAGAAGGGTACGGGGGATGAAATGGCACACAAGGTACTGCAAGCTGAGGCTGTTGATCCTATGACCTGTATTTTCTTCTTGCTAAGCACATCACCCAGACCATGGGTGCCTGTTTCCCATGCACTCAGGAGCCACGTTTGCTCCCAGCTGGAGTGGAGGCTTAGCTGGAACGGGAGCTGCGTGTGGATTTTGGGAGGAGAACCTTGCTCAATCATAGTCAGATGATCTCTGTGGACTGATCATAAAGATGAAAGAAAGCAATGTCTGAGGCCTGGAAATGGTACCTTCACCATGCCAACCTTCCTCCACAAGCCAAAGACTTGGCAAGTCGCAGATGGTAGTGTGGAATTGCCCAGCCTTGTTTGGTGGAGGTGAAAGAGTCAACAGTGTCTTCTGCTTTGGTTTGCATTTCAGATGTTCCCTATCATTAATCACTATGGTGAAATATTAGTGAAAAACATTGAGAAGAAAGCAGCTAATGATGAGTTTGTCACCATGAAGGAGTAAGTAACTGTGTGGGGCTGACAGGAAAGGGTTGTATTCAGTGTGGGGAAGGGCCCCTTTTGGAGAGCCTTTTCCATGCTGCAGCATAGATCTCATCAACTATGGAGATGAGCAAACTCCATAGTGCTCATGGGCATGGTATGTTCCTCAGCGGTGGGCTTGCTGCGCTCTGCTCTGCTCTGCTCAAAGGGGGTAGCAATTCTCTGTTCCCTGTTTCGCTTTACTGGGGATGCACTTTGAGGAAGAAGTAGGGGCCATTCTGGAAGCTCCACAAGATGTGGTATTTTTGGATGACATTTTTACAATCTCTTTTACAGATGGAAATCGGAATAGAGTCTTTGTTATCCCAGACTGCAGTTCAGTGTTTTCCAGTTACAGCCTAGGTTCTTGGCACTGAGTAAAATTGGGGGATGAATGCAACTGGGGAAACTTGGGAAAATATGATGCAGGTTATTGCCAAATCAGGACAGGACCTACTGTGTTAGGACTCTGCACTGAGTCCTTGGTTAAAAGGGATTCCCTCTCAAGGGGTTCTCTATCAAGGATTGTTCCTAGATGGACTCTTATTCACTACTCTGGTTGGGTTCATACCATTCACTCTCTCTTCTTCTCTACCTAGCATTTTTGGAGCCTACAGCATGGATGTGGTGGCCAGCACATCTTTCAGTGTGAATATTGACTCCATGAGCAACCCCAATGACCCCTTTGTGACCAACATTAAGAAATTGCTCAAAATCAGTTTCCTAAACCCCGTGGTCATATTCTTAGGTATGACACACCTCATCTCATACAGCCCTGAATCGATGTCAGAGGTGGTGACCACCTGCATTTCCTGGTAGCTCTCTTAGTAGCTCTGAGTCCTCTTTGCCATGTGGGAGATGCTCAGCACTTTGCAGGATTCAATTCACCCTAGCAGGTCTGTAGAAATTTTTCCACAGGGAAACAACAATTAAGATTTGTATAGCCCATGTGGGTCTTTGCAGAATCCTCCTACAAGCAGAGACCCTGTTTGCAGAGACACAATGGAGAGCTTCTCTGTCACACAGAGCTGCATGAGGAGATTCTCAAGTGCTATTGCATGCCAGCCACGGTTAGGTAAAAAGAGAACTGAAGGCAACAAAAAGCTATTTTTTGTGTCAGGGTCCACATTTACCCCTCTCCTTTAAATGCTTTGTAGCAGTTTTTAGTTTCTTGGGCCCCTTTGATCTAAAATATGTTGTTCTTTTCTCTCCTTTTTAGTGTTGTTCCCCTTTGTTACCCCACTGTTGAAAAAGATGGAAGTGACTCTGTTACCCTCAAAGGTCATGGATTTCTTCCAGGATGTCTTCATAAAAATGAAGAAGGAACGGGAAAAGGGCAGCAGCACGGTGAGTCCAGCCCAGATGGCCTCTTCTCTTCATTGTGCTGTCCTTCTGAGTGCAGGAGGAACCTGGTGGTGTCTTCAGAAGCTACTCTCCATAACAGCTCCCAGCTCATGAAACCTGGGCAGGGCCAGAAGCATGCCCCGCCTGAACTCCCGTGTGGAGAAAGTGTCTGTGTTCATAGAGGGTCTCCAGTCTGAACCTCAACGTGCATTGAAGCTGTGAGCCAGCTGGCAGGGCTAGAAATGGAGCAGGTGTCTCAGCAAGGAGCTTGTGCTGGACAAGGTTTGCCTCCTCCCCACCCACATCTTCTCTGACTGCCTCTGTTTCTCCCCAGGACCGGGTTGATTTCCTGCAACTCATGGTTGACTCGCAGAGCTCAAATGACAGCTCCAAGCCTGCTGAGACTGACTCATACAAATGTATGTCTTGAGATCTGTCCTCCTCTCAGCAGAAAGCATGGTAGTTCCTTGTGCGGTTAATAGGAGGGGATTTTAGTCATTAATCCTACGGGAGATTCAAGGTCTCAGTAGTGGGGCCGCAATGATGCTTATCCCATATCAGCCATATTTTATTGTATCCCATTTCCTGGGATAAATCCTGAGCTCTGTTAGTGCAACAAAGAACAAATAGAGTGAATATGTCCTTACTCCCATTTCTTATTTTATCTTCTCTGAAGGCCAGCGATGTTGGCTGTATTTCATAAAGCACACAAAGCACATACGCTGCACACACCTTGCTCATCCGTGAGCTCATCTCTGTTCCTCATCCTGGGTCAACTGTTCGATTTAGGAGATAATGGCTCAGCCAAAGTATAGTCCCAATCCATCAACCTTAAACTTTTAAACCTTGTAAACTTTTGAGGTGCCAGGACAGGGTATTTGTGTGGCACCCTGCACTTCAGGCTGCGTCCTGGCAGCGCTTGGGCACTGCTGCAGTACCAGCGTTAAATCCTGTGTCGTCCTTACCACCGCTGCCACACTATGCTCAGGGCTGCTAGCCCCTCGGCAGCACAAGGCTCACCTCATGGCTTAGAGAAGCTGCTGGACATGTCTTCATCTCTAACTTTTCCTGGCATGAGCCCCTATTTTTCTGGCCCAGGAGCGTGGTTCCAGAAGAGAAGAGACTTTCTGCATCAGGCTCAGGCTGCACCTACCGTGATTCTGCTCTTAAAGACAGAACTGTAACACTGCTGATCTTGACAGCAGTTTTCTGGCTGTACAACAGTGCCAGACCCACCCCTTTGTGGTACCGGAGAGTTAGCTGGACGTTTCCTTTACCAAGTGTTAAGCAGTTAGGAATAGCTTAGTTACCTTGATTGGTGAGCGGGATCCTGAATTCCCAAAGATTAATCACTGTAGGTTTCAGCTTCTTGCATTGCTTTTATGCCTCTTTTCAGCATTAAGTGATGAGGAGATTTTGGCCCAGGCTCTTATCTTTGTCTTTGCTGGTTATGAGACCACCAGCTCCACACTCAGCTACCTATCATATAACCTGGCCACCCACCCTGACGTGCAGCAGCGACTCCAGGATGAGATCGATGCAAACCTGACCAACAAGGTAAAGGAGGGTGGGGAGATGCTGGGGTTGTTCCCAACCTGTGCCTTGTAGACCACGAGCCAAAAGCCAGTTGGAAACAAAACAGAGTGGAGGAGGTGCTGGTGAAGTTTCCCCTGCTCTGGTCTCTGATGCCTGAAGGGGAAGTGTTGGGGGGCTCTTGGGGTGGGGGTTGAAGCCCTGTGTTCGTAGCCATCCTGATTCCTCTCTCCAGGCTACTCCCACGTACACCACCATCATGCAGATGGATTACCTCGATATGGTGGTGAACGAATCCCTCCGTCTCTTCCCGCCCGCGGGCCGGATTGAGAGAGTCTGCAAGAAGACAGTGGAGCTCAACGGTGTGACTATTCCAAAGGGCATGGTGGTCATAATTCCAACCTATGTGCTGCATCATGACCCAGCATACTGGCCAGAGCCGGAGGAGTTCAGGCCTGAGAGGTGAGGGCCAGGTGGGGGGAATAGCTGCATGCTCAACTTCAGCCCTGGGAGTTGAATGGCAGCAAAAATGGGGAATGCATGATTATAACATTTAAATTAGGCATTTGTCATTGTCTGACATCTAGTCTGAGCATTACCGTGAGGGGAGTTTTATGATCTACATCCATAAACTGTGCATGGAATTTAATTAACTGCGTTGAAGGGAGAGCAGCTCCCAGCAGCTGTAACACTGAGGGGTTTATGGCCAGATATTAAAGCAAGAGCCACTGGGTGACTGGCACGATGCCGTGCAAATCAGCAATGGAAAAGCAAAGATGGGCAGGAAATAAAACTTAATTTTTCAAGTCAAGTGATGAAACAATCCTTGCTTAGGAGTCTCTGTCGGAGCCTGCGAAATGAGACAGTAGCCCAAGGCAGACCTGGGAGACGCTGGGCCTGCTAGTCTTCAGGTGGCCAAGATGTTGAGGGCTGGCTCAGAGAGAGCAGGACCAGATCTCTGCCCTTGCAGCAGGAGTTGAAATGCCCCTGGAAGCTAACCCCGGTGTGGGAATGTGGTGGCCTTTGGGACAAAACGTGGAAGCAGTATCAAGCAGAAGTTAGGGAGGGAGAGGACTGCTGATGAGATCACCTATGGACCCCTATGGTGACCCTCTGTTGAATGCAGAAGGAGCCACTGAAATGGGAGTACTCTGGCAAATAAGCGTGTTACATCAGTTGCTCCAGTAGCTTCATCCTTACTCCAGTTGACGAACCAAGCATGGGTAGCTGGACAGGAGCTCTTTAGGGATCACTTGCCTTGCTGGGAATTGATCAGACGCATGTGCTGGTGTCTTGGTAGTGAGACACTTCACTGCTGACTTAACATAGGTAAGGTTTGTACGTGGACCTCATGCGCTGCGAATGAAAAGCTTTCTGACATGAAAACTAACTGATCACTAAGAAGTATTACCAAAAATGCTCAGTGGCAAATTTCTCTGTGGACCTGATTGTTCTTCCATGTTTTTCATGATGAGGAGAGGAAAGGCTGGTGTGTCTCAAAAGCAACCCTCCCTTTAGTCATGCAGGGGGAGAATGTCTTTGTGTTCGCTCAGTCTTTTGATCTAAAGGGAAGACATGAAGCTGTAGACCTGTGTGAAGTATCAGTTCAGTTTTTGAGCTGAGAGGAAGTTCTGAGTAAAGAGTAGTTATGAAATCCATTACCATATTTCAGGTATTCCTTGATTCACCTGATGCACCTGGACATGCACAGCCAACTCCAAGCAGCAGCATAAAAGCAGAGGCATAAGATATCTATTGAGACAGAAATATGAGACTTAGCCGGGTTCTTCTAACACGCATGCAAAAAGCTTTTGCCTTCCCAGACCCCTCATCACTTCAGAACTGAAAGCTGACATATCCTGGAACAGTAGCTCTTTCCAACTTGTTGTTGTTGTTGTTGTAATCAGGTTCAGTAAAGACAGCAGAGAGTCTGTTGACCCCTACACCTTCCTGCCATTTGGGGCTGGCCCCAGGAACTGCATAGGAATGAGGTTTGCTCTCCTCGTCACGAAAGTGGCTCTGGTCGTCCTGTTGCAGAACTTCTCGTTCAGAACCTGCAAAGACACACCGGTGAGAGTATGGGATGATGTGGTTGACTGTCTGCCCTTTAGTCCCACCGAGATGGTCCTGCGTGCTCTCTTTTGCCTACATCTCGGGACAAACAGCGAACTGCCTCTCAGGCACATTAAATCCTTCTCCTTCGGGACCACTGAACCTTGTCTGCAGACTTGGGTTTTCCTGCTTCACATAGAGATCAGAGAGGAAAATTTCACTGTGGGTTAGAGAGGCGTATGGGAATAACCATATTTAAAGCTTCTCAGTTAATTTAAATGGTTCGCCACAAGTTACTGATTCATTTTTTTCGGCCTCTACTGAAGTAAATTTAATGTTGGTGGAATACGTCAGGCTGAAATCCCTGAAGTCCTCTGACTCTTTGGGTGCACCTCAGTTGTGGGGTGCTCGCTCCCCCGCGGTCTGCCTTGACCCGGCTTGGGAAGACCCTGCTCCTGAAAGCAGAAAGAGAATATCCCCCCAGCCCACCCAGCCCGCTCCAAAGCTGTGCTTCGGAACACAAACACAGCTGTTCTCGGTGAGCGATCCCAGGACACCAAAATTCACCTCTTAGGGGCCACCAGGCAATCTCTAAAGGGTAACAATTTCCAAGCAAGCGCAATCTGAGCCAAATCTGAATCAGCGACCCCCTCCCCTTTGCGGCTCTGCGGGATCCCACCAGGCTTTGGTTTGGCCCGGGATCCCAGGGAATGCCGCGGGCAGTACCGATGGGACAGGCCCTGGAAGACGGGTGGTTTGACGTAAAGTAAATGCGACGGCTGTTGGAAATTATACGTCAGGCAAGCCCTCCTGAAAACATGGCAACTCCCTGTGACTCAGAGGGAGGTAGCACTATGTTTGGTGTTAGTTTCAAGCCCCGACCCGTCTCTGCACCGACTGCTGCAAAAGGCTGTGCCTTCATGAGGCGAGCTTGGGAAATCAGAGCAGAAGGGGCAGCAAGTGTATTGAAAGGACCTTTGTTGTAAGAAAAAGAAAAATCCTTATTAAATTATTACTTGGCACGGATGCTCGGCTGGAATCTCTGCAGATTCAGATTGCAACTCAACTAGTAACCTGGAGGTGAAAGACTGTAATAGTCCATTAACAATGCGGTGACCTATCCACCCTCCCCCAAGTCTAATGACATTTTTCTAGTCCTCTGCAATCCATAAAATTGATTCTTTTTATAACTGCCCTTAATTAAAAGGAGACAAGTTAAATATGTATTGTATTATTGGTGCCCATAGGTTTATGGGGTTCTTTCAGCCCTTTTTTCTACATAAGATGTCATGTACATCAGATCAGAGAGGGAGGGAAAAATTCATGCCGGAACATCCCTTTGGAATATGTATATGGAAGCTGCAGCCTCCTCTCACTCTGCCAGTGATGGTAAACTGGGCTCCGAGCCACATTGCTTAAATTTCCTGAAACAAAGCTTACTGGGATATGGGATTTTAATGTAGCTTGTCAGGCTGCGGGTGTATTACCCTTGCACTGCTGGGGAGAAGGAGAGCTGGGGTACGAGCAGCGTCGAATTGATGGAGGAGACTTAGTAAAACACTCCTCCCTCTCCGGCAAGATGACTCCCTCCAACACCGGTTTAAAACGTTCTTTTTATTGAGATTTCCAGCCCACCCCAAGGGAACCAATCGTTTTTCTGTGTGAGGATGCTTTTTCTTTGGTACTCAGTTTGAGCAGCAATCTGAGTTTCATTCTTCCTGGAGAGCTTATTGCTCCTCCAGCTCCCATTACGATCCAGCTCCCCTCAGCGCTGACTCGCTTCAGCATTAAACAAAATGGCACTGCACGCCCCTCCTCAGCTGCAGCTCCCTGGATGGATTTCGGCTGCTTTTCGCTCCACGTGCAGCCTGTTGATCAGGGCACCGAGCTCTTCCTACTATGCCATGTGAAAGCCAGAATTCGCTAACCAGTTTCTTCAAGAGCTGAGGGCTATTGAGCCCCAGCTCGCAGCTATTTTGCTCAAGCAACAGTGATAGTCCCACGGTAAGTATGCCCGGAAGAGAGGAAACATGCTGAAAACAAGGGGTGGCTGAGATGTATGTGGGTTGTACGTGTCCTGTCGGTGTCATGATTGTCCTTTTTCTCAGCTTACATGGCTATTTTGTTTTTTTCCCTCCTGCTCAAGATCCCACTGGTTATGGACACAAAAAGTTTCATGCAACCAAAGCAGCCCATCGTCCTGAAGATGGTCCCCAGAGCCCATGCTGATCTGGAGAAGTGAAGGAAGCAGGAACAGATCAGAGACTCTTGTTTGATGGTGCCTTCTCTAACTTCTGAGAGGAGACCCCCATTGATGTGTGTGCTGTAAAAATGTCGGTGGTGCAACCCCCCATTTCACAACGGGGCATTAGGGGTTTGGCCCAGCATAATTATATGAGCATTATCCTAATGAACACGAGCCCCAGATCCCAATCACAAATAGGTATTTTGCAAGACCATTTGCACTCAAGTTATCTGGGCACTTTTTTCTCTCCCTCTGAAGAGGCACTTTTCTAAGCAATTTGATTCCAGACACTGTCAGTCTTCTGGCGGTCTAATTTAAATCAAGATAGGGAGAGCAAATTGCACATAGTTAAGTAATGCTACCATTGCTCCTGTTCCTACTGCCTGCTGAGTGACTCTGTATGTCTTCTGGTTTTATTCTCCTGGGAATGCAAAGTTGTCCAGGGCTATTTCCTCAGCTGTGTGCTATGACCCTGACAAGTGTTAAAGTGGTCACATCCTTGCAGGAATGAACGCCTGCGGCAAATTTTCTGATGCTCATTTATTTAGATTTTCTTACGATTTTAGATGGCTTTTGCGTGATTCAGATTGCAGATGAGTTCACTGGAGGAGCCTAGAGACAAGCAGTTTAGCCCTAATGACTGGAGATTTGCAGAGTGGGAGAGAAGTGCCCCGCATGTGTTTCCTGATTGTTTGCTTATTTTACCGCGGGCATGTAGCCATCTCCCATAGAAGGGATTGTCAACACAAGCACCATCTATACTGCTGTCGTGACACCTTTTAGTCTCTGATTTATATTAGGCCATTGTAAGACCAACTTAACTGAACCAATAATGATGCAGGGTGCAGCACCGAGAGCCTTCAGATGTCCTGGAGAACCCTAGTCTGGAGGAAAGGTGTTGCCTTTGGCTATTGAGAGCTGGAAAGTCTTGCTAGACTTTGTCATTGTTGTAGACTCCAGAAAACCTGTATGCTCACATTTCATATTACTCCTCCAGAAACTTCTACTGGAGAACTAACTGCAATAAAAAGCTCACTTACCTCTTCCGTAACCAACTGATGCCCGTCTCTGATTCTGTTCTTTCCTCTATACATAAGTGAATCCATCTGTAGATCTCATAAGCCATTGGCCAGACAACGATGTGGTCTCAACACCTTTCCCAGCTGGGCTTCCTCACTTCTTTGGTGGGATTCACAAAGGAATTACCTCTGCCTCAAAAGTCAGTGCCACGGAGTGGAGATAGAAGTCCTCTTTTGAAGTTCATTCTTCCACTGTCACCTTGTAAGCACCACAAATTACTGAGGGTGCAGTCTTGCTGGTCTCAGCCAACATTTGTCTTTTCGTGAAAGCAGAGGGGTTCGATTCCAGCATCTGCTCCATGCTGCAATCAGCTGACCTCATGCAGGGTTCTAAGTGCTCTCCATGCTTTCTCCTAAACACCTCATGCACCTGCTTTGCTGTACCCTTCCACAGGAGGATGTCTTCTGCTTCCAAGCTGTCAGATTTCGGCACCGGGTGAAATACTTGCGTGTGCATATACATCCAAACCAGTCTCTACCATATAGAATGCTGCTTGGATATCTGGGACATGAAAACTCACTATATTCAGAATGGTTCCCTATGTGTATCATCAGTAGTAAGAGCTGCTTCTGGAGATGCAGAGTTTAAGATACAACAGTCCAAAATCAATGGCTGAGCAGAGTCATTGGCGGTGTGAAGTGGTTCCTATGGCAAAATGGGGTTTAGGAACTTTATTCACTACCTAGCAGTTTTTATATTTCTTTTATATATATATTATCCATATATTATTATATATTCTTCTTATACTTTCTTTCTATATCTTTTAGGAATTTAGTAGAAAACCCCAAAAGAGATATAATAACCTTTCTGCAGCAGACTAAATTCCCCAGTGAAAGGCACCCTTGACTGGAAGCGTAGGGGAAGAGTAAGGCTGTTCCTCTAGAGAGTCACCAGTGAGCTGGGTGAGAGGGTTAGAAAATTCCCAGCAGCTCAGGCAGCCACGGTTTCCCCTTCTGCCTCCGTAACCCGCAGCAGTGCAGCTCCCTTCTGCCACCAACATACAAAAGCGACAACTTGTCTTTGTTTTCAGCTGTTACTGTCCCCTTTTTTAAAGCCATGGCGCTGTGTGACTGTGATGGCGCATCTCAGGGGATAAGACACATACGGACAAAATATAGAAGCAGTCAGAGCCCTGGAGAGCAAACAGCCGAAAAGTGCCCGCACCGTCACAGCGGTTCACAGAAAGGGGCATGGAAAATCCGCAGGTCTCTGCCTTGAGAGGTGACCGAGAAGATGGGGGTGACAAAGTCACACACAGTGTCACAGGTCAGGGATGAATTAATAACCTTGCCGGAGCGAAGGCCGTAGCTTGCCTGGTGGCAGCGAGGGAAGGGTTTTGCCTCCTCATTCCACGCCTGTGTTGGAATTAATCACTCACATGCAAATGTCAACACTGCGGAACACATCCTTCAGGATAATCTCTCTCACAAAGCTGCTTAACATTTCGGTAATACACAGTTCACTTGCAGGTGTCAAAGGATTTCAGCTTCTCTCATCTCTGTTCAAAGGCATCTTCATCCGCCGGCACCCCACGCCGACGAAGCAGGCGAGCAGGCTGCTGCGACCGGCAGCGCCGACGTACCCACGGAGGGACCGACCGGCGAACGCCCGGCACTGCTTTATCTCTCCACACCCACGCAGGATTCTGGCCATGGACAAAATGATGCTGAGGCGTGCCAAATCTCACCTTCCTTTCACGGAATTTGGTCGTGCTGAAGAGCACAAGGTGCACACCTTTGCCGGTTCCCACTTGTCTGGGAGGTTTGCCATCCCATTTTGGCTTTGTGGAGTGGCTGGGGGGGACCTTGCAGTGGGTAATCACTCGGATACAGTGAGTTTTCCAGCAGCCACGGCACACGGGACAGTTTCTTGGCTTTATTCCAGACTGAGCAGCTATCTGGGAGTTGACCCTTTCTGGTCCCGTTTCCAGAGGTAATGAGCATGCACCACTCCCCCATAACTAGAAGGAAATAGAGCTGTGCTCTTCAACACCTGCGTGCCTCAGTTTACCTGCACGTAAAATTTTTTTAAAACTTCTTTATAGCTAGGCAATGGTGAGCTTTGGCACGCGTCCACCTTATGCCGTGCTTTGATTCAGGTCACAGCGAGGTCACCGAGTGCGCAAATGGGTTTCCTTTTGGGTGACACTAAAGCAGAAGTGCCTCAGGAGCTCATCTAACGTGCTCCAGCTGCTGACAGCTTGAAGCAAGTCCTCTACTCCCCCCTAAAACACATATAGGATGAATATAGGGCCCTCCGCATCAACTCCTTTGCTCTGTGTATCCCCCCCGTATAACACAGCCTAAGGTTAACTTAAGGTTAACTGCTTCCTAAGGCAAGCACAGCTTCGGCTTAGCCACAGCTCCTTCCGTAAGGATAGTCCAGCATCAAGCCTCACCATTCAAACCTGGCCCGTCCACTCGTGCTTCACTTATTTGTGCTGGTTTCAAGTGAGAGCACTCACTTGCACTTAACATGGTGCCCGCTCAACGAAGTGGTATCGCTGCCGGACTTAACGTGCTGGAGAGCTTCGCGGGCTCTCGGCCCCCTCCCATCCTTGGGCGAGCTGGCGAGCGGGAGGTCCCCGGGCCAGCCCTGGGCACAGTGGTTGTACCTGCCACGATTTGCAAGACACTGGGAGCTTTCCCGACCCTGACCCGGGCTTGCATAGAGGTTGTCCGTATTACTGCCGCTAGTGCTGTACTGGACCCGCTGCGGCGGAGAGACAAGGCCTCCAGACACCCTTATTGAATGCTCGATTCGGTTAAAATCGATGGAATAATCAGCCCACAGAGTCTGCCCAAAGGTCAGGAAACTGATTTTTTTCCTGCAGCAGCTTTGGTCCTGAGCTCTTCTTTCAGTGTGAGGATCGCAAGCAAAAGCACTTCAGCGGGCAGGTTATAAAAGTGTTATGACTGCCGGTATTAAGCTGACAGGCTAATGTAACAAGTGCGTAACAAGCTCGCCTAAAAGAGCGCGCTAAATTCTTTGCAGCGCTCCTTTCTTGGACACCTCGGAAATGAGCTAGCGAGGGACGCGGCACAGGCTGGGCTGGTGTCCTGCGAGACCAAAGGCAGAAGAGTCTCGAAGAGGAGCCCACCAGCTGGAGGAGGTGGACGATGGCAGGAGAAGGGGGTACTGGACCATGGGATGGCACCAGGTGGAGAGACCTCCTCTTTCTCACCCCATTCCATCCCACAGCCCCAAATTTCACCCCACCCCAGCCTCTCCCCACCTGTGTCGCGCAGAGACACCTCTGTGGCTCCTCAGTCCCCCGTGCCAGCAGCAGTCATCTGCAGTGTCAAAGGACACGACGATGGCATTTTAAGGGCAGGACCTGTCTTTACCCCTCTTATCACTCCGGCACACGAATGCTATCGACTGGACACATGACATACCCTGGACTGAATTTGCAGGAACACTTTGATCTTTCCTTTTTAAGCCCAGCAATTCAATCCCCCACAGAGCTCAGGTAAACGGCTGTGACGCTGCTGCAGTGGATCAAGGTTTCAAGTCAAACAGCAGCCATTTAAACCACTCTTTTAAAGTTCATATCATTTGAATGTCATATGTCAAACTGATGCTGCTTCCACTGAAGGCAAATAGATGTTTATTCCCCCCGCAGCTGGCCAGCGGTCTGACATTCATTATGGAAGCCTCACAGCTGCCAGGGATTGAGCTACCTGTAGGAGTGAGTCTATCAAAGCCGTCCACCTCTGAAGGGTTATTCCCTGTAATATCAGCTCGTGCGTTTTAGCTGAGGCTCAATTTACAGCTGCCGTAAGTCTGCAGTTGTTTTTTCCTACATCTAGGCAAGGTCAGGCATTGTTTTTTGACTGTTCCTTCAAAAATGATGTCATCACCTCGTTTTTCATGGCTTCTCCTGGCCTCAGGCTCACCGTCACTGTGCACCAGCC